CCCCTCCCCCGCAGGGTCACAGGACCCCCTGCCACACTACAGAGCCTGGGGTTGCCAACAAAACCGAACACCCTAGCCCCGCCCCTTCCCCGAGGCTCTGCCCCGCCCCTTCCCCAAGGTGCCCCCGCTCACTACTTTCCCCCTCCCTCGGTGGCTCGGTCTCCCCCCACCCTCGCTCCCTTTCACTGGGTTGGGGCAGGGGGTTGGGGTGTGGGGGTGGTGAGGGCTCTAACTGGGGTGGGGCCAGAAATTAGGGGTTCAGGGTGCAGGAGGGGGCTCCAGGCTGGGACAGGGAGTTGTGGTGCAGGAGGGGTGAGGGCTCCATCTGGGGTACGGACTCTGGGGTGGGGCTGAGGGGTTTGTGGTGCAGGAGGGGCTCCAGGTTTGTGGGGAGGCTTGGGGTTGGGGCGCAGGCTGACCTCGGGCGGCTCCCGGTCAGAGGCAGGCTCCCTACCTGTCCCGGCGCTGTGCTGCACCCCGGAAGCAGCGAGCAGCAGGTCCGGCTCCTAGGCAGGGAGACCAGGAGGCTCCGCGTGCTGCTCTCGCCCGCAGGCACCGCCCCCCCAGCTCCCATTGGCCAGTTCCCGGCCAATGGGAGTGCAGAGCTGGTGCTTGGGACAGGGGCAGCGCTCAGAGCCTCCTGGCCCCCCTGCCTAGGAGCCGGACCTGCGCGGTGCTGACTGGAGCCGCCAGGGTCCCTTTTCGACCGGATGTTCCAGTAAAAAACCGGACATCTGGCAACCCTAACAGAGCCCCCTGCCCCGCTGTGTCACAGAGCCTCCTCCCTGCCACGTCACACAGCCCCCGTGCCCCCCTCCCTGTGCAGGGTCACAGGATCCCCTGCCGCGTCACAGAGCCCCACCTGCCCCCCAGCCCCCGTCCCCCTGCCCCGTCACAGAGTCCCCTCCCCCTGCAGGGTCACAGGACCCCCTCCCTCCACCCGTCACAGAGCCCCTTGGTGTCAAACCCCCCACGTGCTCTCTCTGTGCCTGGCAGGTGTGGCGCTCCGACGTGCAGTTTGCCCGGAAGCAGCTCCTGTGCCCAGATGGTGAGTGTGGCCCCATGCAGAGCCCCGGGGGGCAGCCAGAGGCAGAGAGGTCATGGCGAGGAGGGAGCAGATGTGCCCATCTGCCCCCCGTAGGTCACCGGCCCCAGCCCCACCCAACCCCCGCACACTGACCCAGCTGGTGAGTGAGACCCAGGTGTCGCAGCCCGCAGGAGCCTGGCTGGCGTGTGGCCCTGGCAGAGAACAGGAGGGCCCCAGGGCCGAGGCCCCCATGGCAGGGAAATGATTCAGTGATCTGCACCCCAGGCCGCGGAGGAAGGCGAACCCCCCCGAGGTCACTGCCCCTCTGCCCTGGGGGAGATTCCTTCCCCACCCCCTGGGGTGCGCGGTTAGCCCCCGAGCAGGTGAGCGAGAGCCAGGTGCCCAGCACTAAGAGGGAGACGGCTTGGTGCCCCTCAGAGCCCTGGCCCTGCCCAGGGCCCCGTCTCCAGCCACGGCCACCCCACTGCTTCAGAGGAAGTTGCCAAAAACACCAACCCCAGAGTGTGTTCCGGGGGAGGGGATCCCTTCCTGACCCCTGCCGCTGTTCGGCTGCAGCGATGGAGCATGAGCTTGTAGCACCAGAAGGCAGCACTGCTCAGCACCTCTCACCCACTTCTCTTCCAGTTGCTCGCAAGCGCTTTGGGCTGCTCGTCCTGGGGCTGGCCCTGGCCCTGGGGCTTCTGGGGACTGTCCTGCTGCTGAACTACAGGAGCCTCCGGAAACTCACCACAGGTGAGGGGCTGGGATGCTGGGGGGCAGCGGGGCTGGGGGCCAGGATCCTGGGGGGTTGGGGCAAGGAGCCAGTGAGGGGCTGGGATCCCCGGGGACAGAGGGGCTGGGGGCCAGAATCCCGGGGGGCTGGGGCAAGGAGCCAGTGAGGGGCTGGGATCCCCGGGAAGCAGAGGGGCTGGGGGCCAGAATCCCAGGGGGCTGGGGCAAGGAGCCAGTGAGGGGCTGGGATCCTGGGGGGCAGAGGGG